CGCGTTAGCCAATGAGCTTACAGCTCCTGACATGGTCATTGGTTACCGCTTCGCATTTTGCCGCGCGGTAAGCTTTTCCGCGTCCAGTGTGCAGGAGCCATTACGGCCTTACGTTTTTGTATGTGCCATGAGCTTAAAAAGGGAACACACCCGGGGTTATCGGAAAGTCGAAGAGGCTGCGAGCAGCTGCGAGGCAATCCGAAGCCTGCCGAAGCGTCTGCGTGACGTCATGTTGGAGCTGGTTGGAGCAGAAGAGATAAAAGAACGGTCGTAGGAAAGGAGTTCTGTTTCTTGGTGTACCTCTCGGTGCTGTAAAAGATTGTCCGCGCGTTTCGTCAGTCTCGCGTATCGTCGAAATGTCGTACGCGTATCTGTTCAAATATATTATTATCGGGGACACAGGTAAATATCGTGACGTACACGCGGGGTATCACTGTAAAAAACGGGATCTTCGCCACCCTCCCCCCCATGCATCTTCTACGTCGTCAGTGACAGGGCCTTTTGTTTTCGTTTCCGTGATGCGCAACGATATTGCTTATTCGCAAACGCAAGAATAACTTTGTTTTACGGAGGCAGCCACCGACAAAGAAATTCCCTCAACACACGTTTATTTCCTTTAAATATATTCGTCGCATGTCAGCATATATTTGTTGCGATGGATTTTAAGAGATCTCATCTCGTATCATATTGCTGCTTGATTTATTGTATGCTGTTTCGTAACTATCGAGTACGATTTTGTACGATTTGACGAACTTTCCTATCAATTTCCACGTTAACATCTATATATAGCGTATTATACATTTTGGCCCGTATTCAGAACGCGGTTACGACAATGTTAGCAGCGCGCTAACATACTAATATACTTATAGAATTTCAGAGATAAAAACAAGTTCTGAATTCAAGCCTGTATGTTTTATAATAGAATTATTTCTGCTGCTAAATATCTCTTGCATATATCTTGTATATTATGTCTATTATCACTTATATAAGTATTGTTTCAATTTTGTTTCCATAGTTCAATTCATAAATTATTGTAAATATTTGTTACTCTGTTAAATACTAGAAAGTTAAAAAATAATATAGCACAATAGATTGCAAATAAAAACTTGTAAGTGTTAAAGTAAAATAACATATATAGGGATATTTTGTGTTTAATTGAATATACATGTGAGACTTTATTATAACTTACTAATTAACAATTATTATAATATATAAATACAATGATATATATATATATATTTATATAGGAGTTGGAAAGTCCTGTCTTCTTCTTCAGTTTACGGATAAGAGATTTCAGCCAGTCCATGATTTAACAATAGGAGTCGAGTTTGGTGCTCGTATGATTACTATTGACAGCAAGCAAATTAAACTGCAGATATGGGACACTGTAATTATTTAATTCGTATTATATTCTTACTTTGAAATCAAGCTTCATATTATTGATATTTGCTATTAATAGAATCATGATTCTCTCAATCAATATAAATACTTGTATTAATAATTGATATTTAAATTAATACACTGTTTATATAGCTTTAACATTTATATAGCTTTTTTATTCTATTAAACTCTTCTTTGAAGAGATACTTTCAATCATTCTGTGAAAAATTATATTTTTTTTATTTTAATGTTTTGTTGAGATACAAATTCTGATAATTATATGCTTTCTCTTTTAATTTTTTTATAATTAGTAGGACTTTCTTATTATTAATTATTTTCTTAATTTCCATTTTTAGGCAGGCCAAGAGGCATTTCGTTCTATAACAAGGTCATATTACCGTGGAGCAGCTGGAGCTTTATTGGTATACGACATTACACGTAGAGAAACTTTTAATCATCTTACAACATGGCTGGAGGACGCAAGGCAACATTCAAATTCCAATATGGTTATCATGTTAATCGGCAACAAAAGTGATCTAGATAGTCGAAGAGAAGTAAGGAGAGAAGAAGGTGAAGCTTTTGCACGAGAGCATGGTCTTGTCTTTATGGAGACCAGTGCTAAGACTGCAGCCAATGTAGAAGAAGCTTTCATCAATACGGCAAAAGAAATTTATGAAAAAATACAGGAGGGTGTCTTTGACATTAATAATGAGGTATGATACTAATTCTTTAATTAATCTACATGTACTTTAAATATGAGTAATGAACAAAATCTTTTCATGATTTTATACTTTTATTTTTTATACTTTTATTTTATATTTTATTATATTAAACTAATCGATAATGATGATACAGTGAAAAAGCCTGTGTGAGCCAACACATATTATATTAATATAATTAAAATATTTTATATTAATATAATTATAAAATATGTAAATGTCCATCTGTTTATTTCATATCACTGTGAAAGATCAGAAATAACAGATAAATACGCAATGACAACATATATATACTGCTTTCCATTTAATGACACAAATCGACACAAGCGTCGTTCTATCCTTCTTGACATTTAGAGAGTGACAAAGATAGAACGACACTTGTGTCCACTTGTATCGACTGTGTCTCCTAAAAGGAAAGCAGCCATTGTTACATATTTATTTTTTTGTTTTTTACATTACATATTTGCATTGTAAATTGCATACAGGCAAACGGCATTAAGATTGGACCACAACATTCGCCAACAAGTCCTGGAGGTTTAGCAGGAACTGGTGGACAAGGTAGTGCGCAGGGTGGTGGGTGCTGCTAGGGGCTGGGGCTTATCTGTCCACCAATTCATCCTTCTTCGATCTGAATTGATCCTACTTCTGTTCTTCATTTTTATCCGAACACACTTACTTTGTACAACTTAATTTCGCGCATGTCGCGTCATGAGGTAACAAGTGACAATTGATGTATTTATTAGTTAAAATAATCTTATACACGTAATATAAATAGGATTATTGTAAGACGAAAATGTTATACATCACGAAAATCATGAAGCATTAATAAAGTCTTTGTTTACAAATTCTCCTAAAATATAATAATGAAGTTATATCATTTTTTAATATATTTCTAGTAGATTTAATTCAAAAGTAACAGATATTTTCCAGCTTAATATATTATACATATACAATTATTATTTAATCATATATATATATATATTATATATATATATATAACTATTTTCGTTCTTGCATATCATGTAATAGTTTTACTTTCTATGTATAATTATTTTAAATCGATATCTATGAGATTCATTAATTTTTATTGTAGAAACTTTTACATTTATTTAAATATGCATATACTATAATTTAACTTTAATTATATTGTAAAATTTAGCTAAAGTCTTGTCTCCCACTTTATGCAGCATGTGAAATAATTGTATTAAGTAATGTATTAATTTATTGGGAATGATGAAGCGGGAGAGGACAGATATTTCAATTTAACGTTTTATATTTGTTTAATATGTATTATGTACTGTAATGTAATGTGCACTAATGATCAAAATTCCATTCTATTGGTAGTGGCTCATGGACGCTGATGTATCAGTTAAATTGATTTGACGTTATTTACACCTAATTACCTACAACAATTATATATATGTATGTATTGATGTATAAGATGATAATTATATAAAACATATATTAATCAATGCCATCAAAAGGCCTATATTTAACCAGATTTATATGCTATAATAATTACCAAAAGATCTCATATTGCATATATTGGCTATCGGTATCATTATTTACGGCCTTTTCGGAAAATGAAAACATTACTGCTATAAGCAAATTAAAAACATACATTTTTACAATTTATATTATAGCAATCAAAATCTCTATTTAGTATTTATAATCTCTACATAACACATTAAACATTTACGTTGTTGATCATAGATAAGGATATCAATACAAATATATATGGCTGTAATAATTATATTTGTACTTTCTCGAGATCTGAAAACAATTCCGTTCTAATGAATATTCCTATCTTTATTTTTTAAGAATAATTATGAATATTTCAGAATCTAAACAGAAACATGAGGCACACAAGATATTTAAATACATAATGAATTAAAAATAAGTTTTAATAGTGCACGTTATTATATTTATTGAAAGATTCGTAAACTGACAAGGAAAAGAAAATTATATATTAATATTTCTCGATGAAAAATTATGACGAAACGCATTTATAAGCATATTATATATCTAATTAGTACAAATTGGCTTCTCTGAGCATTATTATAATCAAATGTTATTTATATCTTAAATTATGAATTTATAGCTAATTGTTATACCAAAGAATATATCAGCATTGTATCTCTTTTGCGCTTGTATACTGTAATGATGAAATAATTACATTGGCTTCAAGAAATTACATTCAGTATATTTAATTTATAATATAATCTAGCTATTATTCTACGCAGTCAGAACTAATGACAACTTATGATGTATTTTGTATGTATGCATTGGGTATATATTTTTTTAGTTGGAAAATATATATGTGCACATTACTTATGTCTCTGCTTGTACGATACATCATGTAATGCAATTTGAGTTGCATTTTTTTTTCAGGAGAGAAATGAATAAAACTATCAGCATAATTACGCTGCTGTAAAAGATAAGACTAAAAGTTATAACTGAATTCAAAATCGAATGTAAATAATTTATTTTATTTAACCGTACAGGGTTTAATTTAGCATTGTCACGCTCGACAATTTTATTCATACAGACATTTTATAGCGTGATTTTTTACGTGACGGTATAAATTTGCAACTTGCAAGTAAATGTACTTATACTAAACATCTTAATTTTAGTAGAACTACACAAATTATTCAGATTGCTCAATGTTTCTTGTTATTTCCACATTAAAATAAAATTAGATTAATTAAACTGACATGGTAATTACTAAAAATTAATACTTTACTTTCTTTGTTATATTACAAGAAAAAATTAAGTAGAATTATTAGGTGTGAAAATAAATTAATTGTACAAGTTAAAAACAATGACTTATTCGTTAATGAAAATTACAACATAAAAATATATAAATAAAAATCACCAGAGAGACGAGCAAATAAACTAGGATGTTATATAATATCAATTGAATTTAATGTTGTTTAATATACATTTAAAAAAACGAACCTAGTTTCAACTTAACTAATAGCGAATTCGATTGGATGCACTCAGTGCGCCCTGGTGCACGTTAAAGCCATCGTACACAAAATAATGTAAAGATATATTTATAAATAAACATGAAAATCGATTAAATCATAAAATACTCAATACATTTTATTATACTATTATGTATTGTACTAATTATTGTACTATTGTTTTCACGTTCATGGCCGTAATCGAACAAATCAGACTAGCCAATAGTGTAAGAAACGGCCTTAAGGATTAGTTATTTTCCTTTAATACGACATCGCGCCACATGCGCGCGCAGTCCCTCCCGACGTTGATTGGCTATCAGCCAAGTAGTACCTCGGTCGCGATAGTCAGTCTTGTTCAGCGGTAACGACAGTACACATGTGATTCTAATAAAGTGATTCATTACTACAGTTTGTGTGCTTTGATTTAGCCCGACGCTTTCCTCGACAACGTCCGATCGTTATCGATCGCCCTAAGCTTCTCCTGACACCTATAATTTTCTAATCACGCCGGTTAGCGGCCGTTCTCCGTTCCGTCCCGGCTTTCCTTTTCGGCAGTTCCTGATACAGATTGTCCCTGCCTTACAATAGAAATTGGAGAAACTCGCGTATTGTCGATAATTCCGTCTGATTACGACCATGGACGTGAAAATAACCGAGAAGACAACGCGCAATGTCGAAACGGGTGGAAGACATTAATTGCGCGAACTGTACCAGAGAGAAACCTAAGAGTGGACATGAATGCCTTTTTCCTGTAACCGCAAAATACCTTGTGCACTACAGTCTTTTAAAGAAGTGGATGTCAACTACATAACATTATCCATTTTTTTTTGCGATGCTCTTGATGAAAATAAATCGCTAAAATCGTTAAAATTTTCACTAATTTGATAGATTTTAGTTATTTATTTCTGCGATTTATTTTTATTAGTAGCACCGCAAAAAAGTGGATATTGTTCTGTTCCCCCCT